AAAAAAGTGAAATCGTATTTGTTAATTAATATATTATAATATTATTGATAAGTGCCAAAAAATGAAAATAGAAAAAGAAAAACAACTTTCAATCGTTTTCTAATCTCCTCACAAAACTCATTCTCACTATTTTCGTTTTCGTTTTCAAAACATTTGCTAAACAAATGTCGTTTCATTTTATTTTTTATTTTTTGCTTCTCAAAATACGTGAAAACCGTTCTAAACACGCACATAATTTATGTAAAAATTCTCTCTCTTTTTTCCTTTGCCTCTTTTTGGTACCTTTAAGGAGAGAAAGTTAAAGATCAATTTCCTTGTTTAATTTGCTGTGGAGTACATGCTCCTATGCATGTACGTGTTTTGTGCGTGTGTGTATATATATATATATATTCATGTTTTTTGTGTGTGTGTGTATATATATATATATGTATATAAATATATGTTGGTCCAACTTCAGAAAAAAGACCTCACATGTCGACATATATGCATTATGTATATATGCATAATAGAAAGAACTTTTAGCATTGCCAAAGAGTAGAGATAAAACAAGTTTCCAAAGATATACAATTAGAAAAAGTAAGCAGATTGTGTTCTTTGATATTGGTCCAACTTCAGAAAAAAGACCTCACATGTCGACATATATGCATTATGTATATATGCATAATAGAAAGAACTTTTAGCATTGCCAAAGAGTAGAGATAAAACAAGTTTCCAAAGATATACAATTAGAAAAAGTAAGCAGATTGTGTTCTTTGAGATGATATGAAATCCATTCTTTCCCTTTCAAGGGCATTTTTAAAACAATGGGCTAACCTTCTTTTTGTCTGTTAACTGCCCTCATATTTGCTAGACTTGATACTCAACAACTCAATCAGGACCGTCCATTTGATGCCATGAAATACATCAATCGGTTGTTACAGCCTGAGAAAACCCCCTAACCAGATCTTGACAGTCCATTCAAGAACAAAAAAAAAATATGGGTGAAGATTTTGATGCTGCAAAATTAGAATTAGAAAAAAAATTGGAAAAAAAATCAATTCCATCTAACGGCTACTTATGAAAACAAAACGGGTTCATCTTGACTCTCTTTTTCGGACTATATAATTGATCAATTACTAGTAGTGGTCCACCAAGAACATATATTTTCCTTTGTGGGCCAGCTTTTTGAGGTGTATTATGCAGCACGCTTGTGCCAATTTGCTGGCGTCTTCCATAAAAGCGGCAATTAAAAGAGCCAACAAATTTTGGTTTTTTATATCAATTAAAAATGAGCAAAGATATCATTACTGCTAAAAGAATCAAACCTTACTTGCTTCGGCTCGTTAAGAAGTAATAAATAATCCAAAGCTGTACTAATATGATGATTATGAAATTAATTAGTACGATTCTTTCACTTTTTAAGGCAACGAGCAAAGATAATTCATGCAGCCGCCATTCTCTGCAAATGAAAATTGCTTGGAAATTAACATAATTAAGGAATGCCTTGATCGACACAAAATCCATGGTAGCTAGCTATTGCTAGTATAAGGTCAAATAACAACGACATGTTATTCTTCCTTTGTAGAATATTGTTAGACTTTGATGGTCAAGTTAGCTCATATATATATATATATATATATATATATACACACACGCACACTTATATTTTGCAGCTCTTCATTCCATGAAAACAACATGCATATGATAATGCCATATTTATATTTTTATTTAGTTTAATTATTTTGTATAAAGAATATCTCAATTTATCCTAGTGCTAAATTACATTATTTAGAGGTATCCGCGTGGGATCGATATTTTTCCATGTTCCATTATGTTGAAAATAACGCCCTAATTATGAAATTGGGGGGCTAATTATATTCACACATATATGTATGACTATATATATATATATATGTATGTATGTATATAGTTCCTCGCCGGGTTTCACCTTAGAATTAAGAATTATTTTTTTCAAAATATGTACCTCAAACCAAGTAAAAAAAAAATGTATGTGACAGATTTGTTGACAATATTTAAATGAGTAAGTAACAATGATTAAAAAATTTAAGGAATCAAAACATGGAACTTAATTGATAAAGGTCCTCAAGGGTATTCACATTTAGAAGTTCCAGTTAAGTACTTTTGTACAAATTAAACAACGATTCTTTTCTCACTAAAGTAATATCTAATTGATGACCATATTATTCAAAGAAAAAAATAATAAAAATAGTAATAATATTAGTAGAAAAAGTTGTAAGTTAGCCACTAGTAAGTTAACAGCTCGAAATATATTTGATCAATACCCTAATAAATGACATAAAATTTTTTTTTTTTTTTTTTTTTTTTCAAATGACAATATAGAAAACAAATTTAGTACAAGTAGGGGAAAAGCCAGAGAAGGGATGACTTCAGCATTTGTAGGGCATAGGGTAAGAAAGAAAAGAATTATGGCAAGCGGCGAAGAAAGCTTCGTTATAGGGGGGCCACCTACTTTTAATTGGAAAAAAAATGGAATAAAAATAAAAATAAACTAAAATTAATAATGATATAAATAAATAAATAAATAAATATAAATCTAAGAGATGGTTTTATCAAACCCACTCTCAACTTTTGGTGCGTGTGCTATGAATCTGTTACCAATTGTTGTTCTTTCCATTGGTTAATTTGTTTATATAATATGGAATTGGTTTTACTGGCTATTTGGTTTATTTGATATCAAAGATGAAACCAAAATGAGAATTCATTTCTGCGTGAAAAGCGATACAAAAAACATTTTTGATGGGTACTGAAAAACATTCGTGGAAAATTACATGAAAACGTTTCGTTTCAAACGTTATTCTTTATGTTTTTATTTTCAAAACACATGAAAATCTATATAAATTGCTGAATGTGGCTTGAAAACTAGGACTTTAAGGTAAATTTGAGTTCCAGAAATCAATTCGTGATGGTACTGCCCTTGGATACTTGAATATCGTTTTGCATGGTTCATGCAAACCAATTAGGGCTTGATTTGAACCTCAATATTACACAGCATTAATAATCACAGCAAAAAAAAAAAATCCCTACATGTGAAAATGAAATTTACTGAATTTAGCGATAGTAAACCTGTAGAATTTTTTGAATATTCAGCGGTCTAAAAATAATTAACGTCTCATTAAAAAAAATAAACGGAAAACTAACTTGGCCTTTTGGAAGTTTGCAAAGGAGCATATACTTCAATTTCACCCTTGTGACAAGAATGTCAAAAATGAAAACTTTATAGATTCTTCTTTTCCCCTCAACATTGAGAGCCCGTTTAGTTGGATGATTTATTCTCTGATTCAAATCATGATTTATGGTTCGCTACAGTATTTTTTCTAACAAAAAATATACGTAAATCAAAAATAATTTTAATTTCATAATTTTAATTCATGAACTAAGCGGGCTATAAATATTAGGTATATAACTAGCCAAAGTAAATAACCACAACAGTATATAAGAAAAGGCACTTTAAAAAAAATGTGAAAAATTACAATGTGTCTCCATGGTTTTGCGCGTGGGTTGGGCATATATATTTTTCATTCTCATAAATAAAAAAATAAAAAATAAAAGATGCGGTCCCATGCAATATGTGTATGTATGTACAAATATATATATATATATATATATAAAGACAGAGAGAGAGAAGATGGGTGGAATACTTTAATACACCAATTAATGAGAATTAGACAGGGACATTGGACCACCTCATCTCATCCGCTCCAAACAGTCCCTTATTATGGGAACATTTTTCACAATACCCCAAGCGCATCTATTCTTTCACCTTCTGAATTCTGATCCTCTTTCCTTCTCTCTCTTCTTCTCTCTACATATTTATTTTATATTTTTTGCAGTTCAGACAAAAAATAAAACAAAACAAAATAAAATAGTACAAATAGAGAGTCAGGCCCACAAAAAAAAAAAAAAGAAAGCTCCAATCAGAACGTCTCTCACTGAAACGCATCTGAAAAAGCCTGGAAAAAACTCCTACTTAGGAATTTTTACTACTTCCTTCTTGGGTTTCGTTCTTCAATCCCCACACTACACTCACAACAGATCTCTCTGTCAAATTCAATCTCCTTTTCTTGTTTTTATTGATTTTATTTTTTCCCAACCTTTTGGGTTTGTTTTTGTTTTTGAAAAAAAAAACATTAATTAAATTAAAAAAAAAGCAGAGAAAATCAGAGTCATGTGGCGGCTTGTAGCTTGTGTACCAGGCAAAGGACGATTGTTGTGATTTATAATTATCATCTGTTTCTTGTTCTTCTTCACCAGTGAGTACTTTTCTCACAGAGAGAGAAGGGGTTTTTTTTATGAGTAATTAAATAGTATTTGTTTTAGTTAATTACTTTTAAACACCTATTAGTGGTTATTCTATCATTGGGGTATGAAATAATTGAGGGGGTTTAATTTATTTTAATTTAATAATTATAATATTTGAATTCTCCTTCTAGGAAGTCTATTTTGGATGTATTTATATCTTGGTGGCATTGACCCACTAGAGCGGAGAGAGAGAGAGAGAGAGTCACTGAGTGAGGCATATATGAAATGAAAGAAAATAGTGAACATGGTTTAAGGAGGTCATCATCAGAACCTATTATATCTGATCTTCTATTTCTGAGGAGATAATCTGATGATCATCATCTCTCTTTTCTTCTTCCTAGGTTTGGGCTAATTTCATGGCACACCTTATTGTTGGCTTATTAGGAGAAGAGCTCTGAGAAAAACAAGGGAGCGGAGATTTTATTCTCTCTCTCTCTCTCTCTCTCTCTCTCATCTTCCAACAGCTCCATCACTTCGTTTGAAGTACTACTATATATACACACCATATATATATATATATAAATATCTAATCTCTTTCTATTGTAAGGCTCTGATCTCTCATAAAACTTGATTCTTTTTCCTTTAGTATATATTCTGATCAAAAGGGGTCCTTTTTCTTTTCCTTACGGCTTTGATTTGATGATTACAAGTTATTGATGATTGGTCTCTTGCTTGAATATGTAGTAGTACTATATGATTTTAAATGGGGATTTAATATCTGGGTTCTTTTTTTCTGGTAGTAAATCGTGGTGTGGTGGAGAGAGTACTACTTTGGTGGACAGGTCTCAGAAGTACAATTTTGGAGAGAGAAAGAGAAAGAGAAGGAGAGAGAAAGACTACAGATTTTTTTTTTTTTCTTTTTTGGTGTCCCAATTATACCCATACATACATATATATGGCTAGAGAACTTGGTGAAGCTAAATCAAGGGATCAGATGGGAAGTTCCTCAGTTGGATTTTGCTATTCAGATGTTTCACCACACAATCCAACAATCCAGACCCAGTTCACACAAAACCAGATCCAAGAATTTGGGCCCAACAATCCCGAGATGTTGATCAACTTGACAACCGGCATGGAGATGATAGGCTTTTCAAAGAACACTAACACCACTTCTTCTTCTTCTTCTTCTGCCATGTGGAAAGGGTTCAACAAACCTGATCATGATCACCATGGTCATCATGATCATTTCACAACAAGTAGTAGTCATCACGATCAGAATCTAATGGTGGGACCAGATCATCATCATCAGTCTGGACCTTGGCAAGCTGCTGCTGATCATCATCAGAATAGGTTCTTGGTTGATGACTCTTCTCTATGTGTTTTCCCATGTGAAGGAAATGAGAGGCCAAGTCAAGGCCTTTCACTCTCTCTAAGCTCAACCAATCCTTCTAGTATTGGCCTACAAACCTTTGAACTCAGACAAACAAACCAAACCCAAGACGGGTTTTTCGCGAAATCGGCAAATATTCATCAACCGGCCCACCAAATGATTCAATCTGATCATCATAATCATCATGCGTTTTTGGGCAAATCTCCGAATCATCTTCTTCTTCATCCTCATCAACAAGTTAGTGCTGGTCAGGCGTTCCATCTCAGAAACTCAAGGTACTTGGGCCCGGCTCAGGAGCTCCTCAGCGAGTTTTGTAGCCTCGGAACCAAGCAAACCGAGTTGCAAAAGCAAAAGTCGTCACAGAAGAACAAACAGTTGGAAGATCAGGATGATAGTAACAATAATGGAGCTAGCTCTTCAAAAAAGCAGTTACTTTACTCCCTTGAATTCGTGGAATTGCAGAAGAGAAAAACCAAGCTACTTTCAATGCTTGAAGAGGTATACATATATATGCATACATACATATATATATCCTCAATCCATCACATTTATATACATATATCTCTTTCAAAAATATATATATATATATATTATGTACAACTTTTTTTTCCTCCTTTCATGTTTCTCTTTTGCTGCTTTCACCAAAATTTTGATTCCCTGGGAACTTGGGATGAAAAAAGATAACTTTTTTTTCACTATTCACATCCTGAAAATCTCAACTTTTATGATCGGGTAGTTGGTGAAAGATTGGGGTTTTGGAGTAGTAGTATCAGTAGTACTTGATTTTGAAACTAATTTGGAGAATTGGGGCCTTTTCATTAAATGGCCAAGACGTCTCCAAATTAGGCCTCTCATTATTTCAGAAACCTCTATTCCTTTTCCTTCTTTTCCCCAAAGCCTCATATTTACATATTCTCATCTTATGTTTCTCTCACTTGTATGTTGTACAATATTATCCCACTTACCTTAGAAAAAAAGGGTAAAAAATTTTTGTACAAGGAATCTAAAAGTACTTCAAAATATCTGAACTTTTTATTACCCTTCTTCTGCGTTATAAATATTAATTCTTTTGCTTAAAAACTCTTACTTGTTTGTTGTACAACTTGTCCAAATTATAACAATCTAAATTCTATGTCTATTGTTCTATGCTCATATTTATACTTTTGATGGCTGTATTGTATGTGTACAGGTGGAGAGAAGATACAAGAACTATTGTGATCAAATGAGGGCCGTGGTGTCGTCCTTTGAGGCAGTAGCCGGTGCCGGGGCGGCGACGGTTTACTCGGCGTTGGCGTCAAAGGCCATGTCAAGGCATTTCAGATGTTTGAAAGACGGAATTGTGAGCCAAATTCAGGCGACGAGGAAGGCAATGGGAGAGAAGGACGTGGCCGTTCCGGGCACGAGCAGAGGCGAGACGCCGCGGCTTCGGGCTCTCGATCAGGCGCTGAGGCAGCAGAGGGCCTTCCAGCAGATGAGCATGATGGAGAGCCATCCATGGCGTCCCCAACGTGGCCTTCCCGAGCGTTCAGTTTCTGTCCTCCGCGCTTGGCTCTTTGAACATTTTTTACACCCGTAAATCTCTCTCTCTCTCATATCACATTGTATTCATTTTCTTTTGGGGTTAATGACAAGAAAATTATTAACATTGCTAAGATTATAAATTTCTTTTTCTTTAAAAAAAAAAAGAGCATTTCTATAGTAGAAAAAAAGGGGAAAGAATACGATTAAAATTGATGGTATAATTAAAAACATTTACTAAAAATTAAAAATGGCTTAATTAAATTAATAGTGTTAATCCTAATTAACTTGACGTGTGATGATAATGCATCACATGCGGTTATATATAACATATAGTTTTTTTTTCTTTTTTTTTTTTAACATGGACGCTAGTGTTGAGATTTGAAGTCTATATGGAGGTAAACCACAAAGTAGATTTAGAGAAAGAAGCAATGTTATTCCCAAAGTATAAAGAAACCAACATATATATATATATATATATAATATATATGTATACACACACACACACACACGACACATGCAGTACTACTAGTTAGTAGTTGTGTTGATAGAGGAGGATTGAGAGTTCCTGATTCACGTCGTCTAGTCTCAATCATTTTGGCGTTACAAAAACAATGCCAATGCTTTGGTAGTTTCTGTCCACCACCATTCAGATTCCCCGGTTTTTTCATTTTTTGTCATATTGTTTTCAATCATTTGGTTTCTTTCGTGGATATTTTCTTTTGGTCTCTCTCTCTCTCTCTCTCTCTCTCTCTCTTTTCTCTCACCGTTATTCTCTTCTTGTGGGTCTCGTCCTATTTTGCTCACAAATTAGGACCCATTATACACTCATCATCTCTAGTACTTGTACTATTACTATACTAACTCTGAAACAAAAGTACCACCATGTTGATATATCATCTTACCACTCCCGCCCGTGTCCGACCAAAGAAAATTAAAGTAACTGGAATGTTTTTTCTATGACAACTTTTGCAGGTACCCAAGTGATGTTGATAAACACATCTTAGCCCGCCAAACAGGCCTCTCAAGAAGCCAGGTATATGTATATACATACATGTGTGTGCCTATTTCTCCCTAATATCATATCATATCATACCCTACCATAATATATCATATATATGTGTATATATATTTCAACTACCTATAACAAAATTAATTTTTAGAATCAATAGGGCATATCTTCTATGATCCTCCATTTGTTTTTTTCGATGCAATCAGACATTTTAACGTTACTACACTTTAATATAAAGAAAATAGGACATAATTATAAATATTAGTACATGATCAATTCAAACATTGATTGAGTAACGTCTAACTATTTTCCTAATTAGTTATTTTATGACATGAGTGCGGAGTCCATATTATCTTTTTTTTTTTTTTTTGAGAAAAAAGCTATGTCTATATTATAAAAATTATTCTTTTGCTCTAATAGTTAACACCACAAAACATTATTTTTTACAACCTCCAGAAAAACATTATTTTTTTTCTTCATGAGTAAGTTAAATTACCAAATATAATATTAATATACATATAGATATAGTCTTTTCTCCATATGTCGTATTGTGTTTGTTGTTAATTCCTTTTTTTTAATAAATTAAATTACTTATGGTTTGATCAGGTATCAAATTGGTTTATTAATGCAAGAGTGAGACTTTGGAAGCCTATGGTTGAAGAAATGTACGTAGAAGAGACAAAGGAACCATCAGATGCCAACAACAACATAGGATCCTCCTCAGACGGCGTAACCATGGAACTCGGCGACCCTAGCCGGCAAACCAGTCGAAACCCGCCCGATCAAGACCAAAAACCGACGGTGGACCAGCTCGTCCGAATCGACTCCGAGTGCCTCTCGTCCATCGTCATCAACCCAGACAAAACCGACATGAGAAGCAGCAGCAAATCCCTCCAAATCCGCCCTTCCATGCAAGTGCAACGACAACAAAATTTCGATCGTTTTTCAGAGACGGCTTTCGGGACCGTGGAGCTGGACTTCTCATCGTACAACCAGCACCAGCCGTCGACGGCCGGTACGGTTTTGTACTCTAACGACAACGCTAATGCCATCGGGTTTAACAACGGCGGCGGCGGCGGCGGCGGAGGGGTGTCGTTGACGCTAGGGTTGCAGCAGCATGCGGGTGCGAACCATGGGGTGAGCTTAGCATTCTCTCCCGCTTCACAAAGCTCTCTGTTTTACACTAGAGACCATGAAATTGACGAGTGTCAACCGGCTGTTCAGTACTCGCTCTTAGACGGCGAAGGTCAGAATTTGCCCTACAGGAATTTGATGGGGGCACAGTTGCTTCATGACTTGGCATGATTGATATTGATATTTTGATGATGATCAGATTATGATCATCGTAAGAAAAATGTGGTGAAATGGGTAAAAGTACGGGTGATTTTTAGATAAAGAAGTTAAATTAGGTATAGAATATAGCCAAAAAATACTTTCATGTATACGTACATAAAGCTATACTGGGTGGGGGGTTTAGGCATCATCATGATCAATTTTCTTGACTGGTAATTAATCTTGGAATTTCTCTTTTATATCTTTTTGGTTGTAAGAACGTATGTTTTTATACTCTTTAAAGCGGTTAGGCTAATTATTTGGAATTATTCGCCAGCTATATATATATATATATATATATATACATATACATATATGTATGTGTACACACACACACACACACACACATATATATATATATATATATATAATTTGGTGCATGCAAAGACATTTACATACATGTACACATCTATGCGCTTGCAGATATATATATATATATATATCATCCTCTCTCTCTCTTTCGGTTAGAATAATTAATAGGGAATTTCAAAAATTTAAACCTATTCCTTAGAAGTAGTTAGGCATCTCTTTCTTTATATCTTTGCTGAAGCCAAGTGAATGAATCGTCTGTGGTTCCTGTTTAAAGTAGGAAATGATCAAAACTTCACGATTCGATCGTTTATATACAAAATAATGTGCAATTTTTTCTCCTATCAATAAAGACAATTCAGATTTATTAGCATAATTTTGATTGGTTCCTTTGGTTTTGAAGATTAAGACAATTCCTAAGAAACTACAAAACAGTGTGCTAGCAGCTGGGTTTCGTAGTTGTGGTCCCTAATGATCCATGGACAAAAGAAGATCATGATATGTGTGTGTGTGTGTGTGTGTGTGTGTGTGTATAAGTATTATATATCAAAGCATGCCAAAATCCAATAGGGAGTTGCGAGGTGCTAGCTTTTTTGTTTTTGCCCACCTTTGGAGTCGGTTTATATGCTTCTGCTTTTGTAAAATGATCAAAAAGGTCACTTTATGATCAACTTGATCCTTTTCCAAGAGTGTGAAAGGAATTAGGGTTTTGGTGATATATATATATATATATGTCTTTTTGCTCCTTCAAGCTGCCCCAGATGCAATTTTTACCATTTGTCAAAAACACGTAAAAAAGGACCACAGTTTGAACTAACTTTTACGTTACACCCTTAAAAAACGTGTGTATAAATACGCACATATATATATATATATATGTGCATATATATATATATATGTGTATATATATATATATATATATATATATATATGAAGAGAATATATACAGAGAGTCACAGACACATACTTATTATGTATATTATTCTACTATGGGATGTGAGCCAAAATGCTGGAAGGTGAAATATTATAAAATAAAATAAAAATAGTAAGGATTTTGTAAATAGTAACCGTGAAAAATGCTGAAAATTTTCTTATAAATGAAGCTTTAAGACTCTTTATTTTATATACATTCACAAGATTAATGAAACTCTCTCTTTAGTTTCTCTTTCTAAAGTTTTTCTTCTTAGTTTTGCATTTTCTTAATTTTCATAACTCTGTTAGAAAGATTGTTAATTATTTGAGGGTCGGATTAATAACACAATCAGGAAGAAGGACATACTTTTTTCTTAAAAAACACAAACTATTCAAAGGAAATTATTAATTAGTTGAACAATACAAACCACCCATAGATCTTTTTCATATATGCAAATTGATATCCCACCAACTAATTATTCTTAAATGACTATGTATGCTTAACTACTAAACTGTTATATTAAAAACGTTATTAATGCTTGAGAGGCCCCCAAACTGAATATATGTTACGTCTTAATTTAGATTAAAAATTAAAAATTCATTAATTAATATATATGACATTATTTCAAAATGTATAGTTTCGGATTTGAACTACTCTAGTCAGATAAAATATAAAATTAGTTCAATAATTGTACCCCACATAAATTCACACCCCTTAGAATTTAATTCAATTAGAAATTTCTTACGAATCATCAACAATTTATTAATCGTTGAGAGGCCCCCAAACTGAATATATGCTATTTATGTACTGGTTGCCATAGGAATTAGTGAACGCGCAAGATTAAAGGGTTGTTCTTTTGTATTTTTTAGTTAAGGTGATTTGAGTGATAATTTTGAGTTGAGTTGAAGTTGTAACTTGAGTTTGTGTTTAGATGTACACATTTGAGTTATGATTTGAATTGAGAATCTATTCGAGTTTGTGTTTGGGTGTGTCAAATTTTAAATTTATATTTAGATAGTATTTTAATAAAAACTCAATGGTGATGAAAAATTTTAATAGGGTATATGGGTGGGGTTTTATTTTTCTTTTCATTGTGAATGCATAGAAAAAAAAATCATCTCAATCAGAATTAAAACGAAAAAGTTATCGCATTTTTAAGAATATAAAAAATATTGTTCATTAACTTGAGTTTGAGTTTATGAACTCAAGTTGAAGGGAAAACCTGAACTTGAGTTTAGCTCCAAACTTGAGTTCAAACTCAAATTTTACAAAAGAATATGAACTTAAATAAAATTGTAATTCGAATTCAAACTTTTTATGAGTTTCATTGCAAAAGAACAACCCCTAACTCTTCATTAAATTAGTTTTGACACGTCTTACTTTAGGTTTTAATTTTCTTTGGATTTCTTCTTTGTAAGGCCGGTTGGGCATTGTTTTTGCCTATACAAAAATAATTAAAAGCCGGGACTTTTCACTTAGTATTTGGGGATATATTTTTGAATGATAACAAACATAGTATTTAGATTTTCAAATAAACAATACAATTATTATATAGATGTTAATACAAGCTTATTTAAGTCTTCTTACAAGTTTCAAAGTTGTCATAAAAACATTTTTGAGGAGCTACGTTTCAGGGTCCGTTTGGCCTAGTTAGCTCCTGGAAGTTGTTTTTGACTTCTTGAGTCTGAATTCTGAAAGCAACTTCTAAGAGTATTTGGATAAATTTTTAGAAGAGCTTTTGCCCTCCAAAAAAACTTCTAATCAAAGTTACAATTATAAGACTTCCAAATAAAGCTCTTCTAAACAGACTTTGAACTTGTACAAAGATTTCAATAAGATTTTTTAAATTTTATATTAGCATTTTTATTCTTAATTATCATTTTTTTCTTCACTAAATTCATTTGAAAATCTAGATCCAGTCAGTCATCAAGTCAAACACCGTAACTTTACTTCGCTTCTTCTAATTAGAATTGCAACTCAAAAGTTATACAAGTAATTAAAAACAATGCCAAACAGACCTTGACGGGTGTGTTTTTTTTTTTTTTTTTTTTTTTTTTTTTTTTTTTTTAAAGGACCAAAGCTCTTTTTATGATTCCAGAGGACCAAAAGGCCACTCAATTTAATATAGTTATCAGAACTAGATGTTGGACTGCAAAGTTAAAACAACCTTAATTGAGAAGCAATTCTATAAGTTGTTTTAGTTTTTACTCGAAACGTTATTCAGCTACACTAATTACATTATATATACATATATACTTATAGAAATTAGAATATAAAGAATTAAACACATAACCAGTTTCTTTAAATACAGTTATATGTATATATATATGTGTGTCTGTATATCCGATAGCAAATGGGGAGTGAAACTTTAGGCCCCGTTCACTTCACGATTCGAGTTTAGAATTCGAGTTTTGCTAAAAAGCTCTTACATAAAGTCACATCTCAACTCGAATTAAAAACTCGAATCAGCGAACTAAACGGGCCCTTAATTTTCCTACTTTATTAATGAGAACTACGTCCTAGCTCGCACTCTCATGCTGTTTTTAGCTGATCATACTTATACAGTTATGATTACAATTTGCTCTTACAAAATTTCTCCTTATTTATGGTGTGTCAGAAGTCTTCATCCGTTAATGTAATAACGACTGATTAAGGCTATTAATTACAAACTATAATTTAATTCCTAACCTTTTCATGATCATACGGGTATTTTCTATTTATTTTTGTTATTTATTTCAGATGGAAGCTAAAACCGCATGAAAACGAGTGAACGGCCGGGTAAAAATTGATGAACTGAAAGAAGCACATAATAAAAAGTATTTTAGTAACTAATTTTGAACCCCCAACTATACAATGAAGCAAATAAATATCACTCATCGATAAAAATCTAAAGCTCAACATCTCTTATTTAAGCAACAAATGGGCAAATGAATTTAGTTTTCTTGGTTTCATACAAACTGTTTCTAAGCATATGGAAAGGAAGAGGCCAATTAATCAAGAGCAATGTCATTTGACACCAATGGTGGTTCCACCCACTAATAAAGGATAGGTCACATAGGGAGGGACTCATATGTGGGGTCGACATAGCGTGTCTAAGTATCTTTCATTAATCAATATTGGAACAAAATCCCACTATATAAGAGACAAAAGAATGTAGTGGGTCATTTAGTGGGTCGATTATGGACCATGGTGTTACCAATTTCTGAAGAATGGGTTGATTTGTTCCAGACAAAATAATGGGTAACATATTTAGGCCTTGTTCATTTCACCGGCTCGAGTTTTCCGTTTTAGGTTTCTACAGTAAAAAGCTCTCAAAAAATGTCACATCTAACTTTTTCTGCTACAGTGAAAACCTCTCTGAAAATGTCACATCTCAGTTCGAATTGAAAACTCGAATCCGTGAAGTGAACGAAGCCTTAGGCAGTATACTACTTTTAAAGCTAGTTATTTATTCTCACTCTCTAAGGTTGTTTCATTTTCTTATGCTTGCTTTTTTTTTTTTTTTTTTTTTTTTTTTTTTTTTTTTTTTTTTTTATGTTTTCAGTTTGTAAGAATTCTTTAATAAATCTTTTTGGTCGTTAGAAAAATTCTCACTCTCTAAAAGTGGTACTTCTCTAATAGATGAGGGAAATCAAATGGGCTTAAGTCTTCTAATTAGCCAACTTTGTTGGACATCTAAAACAGGAGGCTCAGTTTTGTCACATTGTAAGCTACCTCAACAAAATGAGAACATTAAGCATGTATCAACTTTGTTCGAAGCCCAAAATTCTTCTGGATTTATTGTGGATTTCGGCCTGCTTTTAACAGATCTTATCCCCGATATGCCCATGAAATAGGGACCCTCAATTTCCTTAGCGAAAAAAAGAGATAAATACTTCGTCGAATTTATGGATTTTAAATTTTTATTCTTTACTTATACGTATTAATACTCTTTAATCAAAAAAATTATATTAATTAAAGAGGATTAATAAAAAATAGAGAGTAAAAATATTAGAATAATGCATTTAAAGGGTGAGTTCAATAAA